ATGCAGGCAAGCTGGACCCTCTATGGCCGGCCAACTCCTCTGGCCAATGATTTCCCCCTTTGCCTATTTCTACTATTTATTCAGCCTGCAAGGGAGTCTGCAGCTGGTAGAGACTACAGTTTTTCCTGTGTACCCGTAATTACACACAACTCTAAATTGGTAGTGCTTGAGCATTGAACAGGCAGTGGGGGTGGGTAGAGTCTGTGCAAAAATGTATGCCGTACTACCATTGTCTTTGGTGTGGCATTTTATTCCTATCAAAAGTTTCACTGTTAAAATCTTTGGGCGGGTGAAGCCTGTTTAGTCATGACTGGTTTTCCTGAGGCAGCAAAAGTTGTGGACAATTTCCCGGAGTATAGGTAAGGCACTGTAGTCCGGTGTCCAGTCTATGGTTCTGGCTGGTTCACTTCGGGGCTGCAGGAGCTCTCCAAGTAGACATCAGCAGGAGTTTTCCACAGCAGAAGCAGAAGTTCTACTGGTGCCCGTAGCCAGGATTTTGAATGGGGGGTTCTTCCCACTGCTTGAGGGGACCAGCGAGCACCGTAGGCGCGAGGTTCTTAGGAGGGTTTGGGGGCATGCTCCCCCGGGAAATTTTGAAAAATAAACCTTCTAAAATGCATGGCATTTCGTGCATTTTTGAGAGAATTTCCAACAAAAAAAAATCAGAGATAAATTTTTCATTCAATGACAGAGGGAGCAGTTTTTCTACGATTCTAGTCCATCTTTTTAAGAAAAATCTTGGACCTTTACATAAAAAGTGGACCAAAAAGTGGACCTTTACATAAAAGTGGACCTTTGAGCCTTGTGTGTGTGGGGGGGGGGGTCTTCCGAACCCATAATGGTGTTCTTAATGGTGAAGCAGAGGGCAGCAGCCCCGAAGAGAACCCGCCCAATCCGCGATAGACTTACCCTGGATGCCAGAACCTTAAGCACACTGGGACCAAAGTAAATCCAGTGTGCACAATGAATACTAGTATTACTTTGGTTGGGCCAGTGTGCTATGGGTCTGACAGCTAGGCTACGATAGACTGAACACCAGGCTACAGATACTGCTGAGTCCTAGCCTCTACCAGGCTTCGGGAGGCGGCTAGAAAGAGTAGAGATCGGTCAAATAGAGAGATAACATGCCGAGGGAGTTGATCTGCCAGAGAGTACATTTTACCGCACCCGCTAGCGGCAGACTGTTCTCTCCAGCATACCAACTCCCCTGGCATGCTAGTCTCTATTTCTACTCTTTCCAGCCGCTTTCCGAAGCCTGGTAGAGGCTAGCTGAATCCGCAGCTGTCCTACACGAGAAAGACGAAGCTGATCACCACAGAGCCAACAGCAGTCACCCACATGGCCGCCCTGTCCACCACCAGGGCAGCCATCTTCCACTCGCGTTCTTGCTCCTCGTCGTCAGCGATTCCCTGCAGATGGGCGGTGATGTCCTCCACCCTGGCTGAAATCTGGTGAAGCAAGGATCGCTGTGTGCAGTCGGTGAGGGCGATCTCCTGTAGAGTGTTGCGGCCCGTGTCCTTCAGCTCAGCGTTGTCTTCGCCGTTCAGCAACTCGTGGGTATGGTTTGCATGATTTGGAGATGCCCCGGAGGCGGCTGGCCGGTCTTTGGCGATGTCGCACATGCAGAAGAAGTTTGCCATGTAGCGCAGCAGCAGCAGGCGGAGGCAGCGGGGCAGCGGGCGGGAGGGGTGGCCGGGGTGGGACAGCCGCAGCACCAGGATCGTCAGCAGCAGCGAGATGGTCACCAGCACGATCGTGGCCGTGAAGAACCTCCCTGGGATGGAATAGGCACAGAACCGTGAGGATGATTAGGTTATACTTTGTGCCTTAAAAACAAACTAGCATAGACTACAAATTCAGTGGCAGAAATGTATACTTTCCTAATGTCCAAGCAGATACATTGTACTATGGTGGCAGAAGATAGTATCAAATAATCCAGGCAGTATCCATTGGCCAGAGACGTTCCTTGGGAGGCGAATGGACACTGCCTGACCAATTCGATACTGTCTTTTGCCACCCTAGGATCTGCTTGGAGATTAATGCTTTCCAAGTAGTCTCCACCAGACTAACAACATGTGTTCAAAAACAGTAAAATTTAGCCAAATAGGGATTGATTAGGGGAGTTCCCGTGGACTGACTATCCTGGCCAATTATTTCATCTCTATTTAACGATTTCTCCGATCCCCTGCTGTATGAAGGCCTGGTGGAGGCTAGAGTGCTAGGATGAGGGTTCTGTCTGGAAGGTTCTGCCAAGTCTAATGGTTCTTACCGAGCATGGGAGTGGATATGGAGGTGGCGGGGAGCTGGGAGGCCAGGAGTTGCTGAAACACCACCAGCGACAGAAGGACCGTGATGGTAAAACCCAGTCGCTCTGGAAAAAAGTCCATAATATGTAGTTCGTTACTGCTACTTTACTTTTTTTTTTGGACATGAGGCATGCTCCAGTTCCTCTAGTTATTGGTTAGTCCCTTATTTACCTTTATGGCGTCGAGAGGGTAGGTTAGCGGACATTACATTGAGAGATCGTGGGCTCGATTCCTGGCATTCCTGGTAAGACAGTGTGTCCTTCGGACAGGCACTTAACACGAATTTCCTCACTCCATCCAGGTGTACATCGGGTACCTGACTTCGGTTGGTGAGATAAAGGGCGGTTGAAGGAGAGGAATGGGCTCCGCCTTCCAATACCATGGCCTAGACACAGTGGACTAACAACCCACTGCCCCTAATCGGCCTCAAAAGGCTATGTACGAAGGCCCACAACGACACTGCGACACACCTCTTCCCAAGCCCGGAAAGGGTCGGCGCTGCGAAGGTCTGTACCTGTGGGCCTTCGTAGCTATGGGACTACCATCACCCTTACCTCCGCTGTCTGGCGGGATGTAGAAGGCCGCCAGGTTGAGGACCAGCAGGTCCAGACACGGGACCACCATGTTGATGATGTAGAACAGGCGGCGGCGCGTCAGGTGGACGTGCAGCTCCATACTGGGCCACGGCGCGTCAGGGCAGCATTTGTAGTACGTCAACTGGACATTCAAAGGAATTGTCATGAAAGTTCATCTGTGTTGGTAGTTACATGTTTAAAATTAAAACTTTTGATCCACCACAAAGAATTCTCTCACCTAGAGCTATAGACTGACCCAGTGAAGCTTATCACGTGACTTTTTTGAAGTGTGACGTCAACACTGGGTCAAAGGTATCTGGTAGACGATGTCGGCCCCCGTCGCGGTTCAATGAAGGTTGATGGGCCCTGATGTATATGGCTTCCTTCACCCCTCAATTTGGACACTGAACAAGACTATTTCTTGTTTAATCCATTGATGTTTTTGCTGTTCATATTGTATGTGGTAATAGCGGGAGCTGTTGGCACCGCGTGTACAGTATGTACGCATGGCTTTTTATGGTCTCACATTTCGGTCTCGCAAGTGTCGCATTCAGCAACTACCACTGGACATTATGTAGCAAATGGCAGGACAGAGTTGGAGAGGCTGGTCACCATATATATGAAGGTGTTTCTTAAAAGTAGCTATATATAGGAATAAACAGAGAAGTAGTTTCTTGGGTTAGACCTTGTGAGGGTTAACATTATGGAGTTGCATTGCAACTTTTGCCTTCCTATTTATGATAAAGTATCGAGTCTATGGACATAAGGACCAAACCATCAGCCATCAGTGGAAATGCCAAAAGGAGAAATCTCGGCATTTTCTCTCCGCGAGTTCAGCACCAAGGCCAGGCCTGTTTAAAGTTAAAACTTTTGGTCCAACACAAAAAATTCTCTCACCTAGAGCTTTTGACCAGAGAGGGGTGAAGGAAGCCATATACATCAGGGCCCATCACCCTACATTGAACCAGGGGCCGACATCGTCTACCAGATACCTTTGACCCAGTGTTGACGTCACACTTCAAAGAAGCCACGTGACAAGCTTCACTGGGTCAGTCTACTGAGAAAGACCAGAGTGACTGGTCGAAAGCTCTAGGTGAGAGAATTTTTTGTGTTGGACCAAAAGTTTTTAACTTTAAACATGTAACTACCAACACAGATGAACTTTCATGATAGAAGGCCAGGCCTGTTTACCTTTTTCCACACCTCAGTCCTTGTCACCTCGAACTTGTCGTTCTCCGCGAATGCAGTCATGTCCATGCTGCCTGAGATGTTGAAGAGGTCCAGCTGAGCCGGGCCATACAGCCAGGAGGAGAACTCCAGCTTACAGGTCTGTGTAGGAACGGAGCGGGGGTATACGGTTTATTCGTTTATTTTGTTTTATTTGCACCTATATAAAAAATTACATAATCAAATAATAACAATCAGAGAATATGCGGGGTAGGCCAGAAACCTAGGTGGTGTTTTAAAGGGCCTACCCCAAACAAAGATAACTTATGACAAAACATATTTGAATTAAACATCAAAATTAAGCAATGAAATAATTGATTAATTAAACAAAATCAAGACACAGAAATAATAACTGAAGTGTGTAAACTAGTTTTTACATCTACGAAAAGAAATTAAACAAAAGTGTTATACATGTAATTCAGGTCGCTGTTACAGAAATAAACTGATTAGATAATTAACATACAAATTAACGATTAAAACAAAAGATTGAAAAAGAGCATACTGTTGAGACATATTTAGCGCTAAAATAATACAAAAATCAAATAATCTACATATTTGTTTTCTATCCCGACATTTATCACAGGACATGGAGACGCCACACACAAAAGTTTTTTCAACTTATTTTTATGCCGCCACCAAAGCAGACAAACACATGAACGGACAACAGAAATACTCATTTTCACCTGAGTCAAGTGTGAAGTGCCTTTCTCAAGGGCACAAGATCGGTGGCATGCATGCCCCATGGCAGGGTTCGAACTCGGCCGATCGCTCTGCCGTTACGCCACACGACCCCGCGAAGCTACATACACGTGTAAATGTTGATGAGGTTTGTCCTGTATGTTGATGCAAGTTAAACGGAAGGTAGCCCTCACCTGTCTATCATAGGGAAACGCGCTGACGTCCACTTCGCATGCGCTGCTGAACAGTCCGGGTTGGAACCACGACACGCGACCCTCACTGGTCACGGTGACGTCAGTGATCCGTGGCACCTCACCCGAGCCCCCTCCAGCACTTCACAAATAAAACAAACAAACAAACAAACGAATTGAGAGGATCGTCTCGTCGACTTCCTTCGCACACATAAAATCAGTTATTTACGTTCCCTTCCTGATTATCCTTTTCTTTCCCTTGTTTATACATGTATGTACCGGACCACATGTTACCAACACATCGGCAACCTGCCGAGAATCCCATGTTGTGAGGCTAGGCAGTAACGAAGAAGAAGACGAAGACGAAGGTGATCATCAGTTTTGAAACGCTATCTCCAAAGCAAACTATTTTGCATAGAACGTTCATTCAAATGCACATCACAGGGGCACGTCGGCAGAACGCACTTCGCCTGTGCGAAACCTGTAATGTATTGTGCATAACAAGAACATCCCGCGCCGTCTAAGGTCGCATTCGCGTATTTAAGGACGGCATCCAGTCTATATATAGTTCTATACAAAATAGTGTCGGAAAAGGTATCGTCTGCAACGGGCAAAATTCTGACCAAACATCCGCAGTACGTTCTACTGACGTGCTAGCCATATGGACGTTAGGTCGATGTTTATTTCTTTATTTATTTCATCATAAGACGGCTGGTTAGCCCCATTCAGCTTACATTAGATGTTTTCCAAGGGGGCCCAGCAAAATTACACAAGACATTGTTACATACAGTAAGACAAGAGTGGACAACATACAGTAAACATAAAAGTCTGATGCGTCAAAACAGAGTCATAGTCCTATACTGAAAGTCCTAGCCGTTCAAAGGTCAAAAACACGACAATCAAAGAATGGAGGTTAGAGGTCAGGTTTCATGTGACATGTTGTACTAACTTGTTGATGAGGAAGAGGTCGGGAGTCCAGACTTCTTTAGAGTGGAAGGTTACCAAAGTGACGCCGCCATGTTGTGACGCGTTCCACCGCAGTAACTCGTCCGTCCAGTACTGTAACGTTGGAAATACCATATTCCTGTTATAACCGCCATCAGCATCAATTTACATGGGGCAATAAAAGTCATTCAAGTAAAGCAATACTTGAATATATTAGCAAAGTTCTAGATCTTTAATCACAACCACCAGTTTAACTGCCATCTTCATCACTGTGCACTAAAGCTAGGTGTTGCTGGTTCAGCCGAGGCCTACGTTCTTAAATGGCTACGATACCAGGCAAGGCAGAGGGAAAGTGGAACGGACTGTACAAGAACATTAAGGACTCACACTGATTTGTTGTGCCGATCCGGCTTTACCTTTGGCAATTAGCCGCAGATTGGTACCCGAGAACAGTCATTTATTATATTATTACTGGTTCACTGTGCAATAAAGTTACGTATTATCCACGGATGTTACATGCCTTTCTATAGAACAGTACTTACAAATCGTAGCCACAGCTGACTTGTGAAGACCTGGTTTTGTTCTTCCTTTGGGATAGAACACATTGATATGTTATTACTTTTAAGTAGCAACATATCACGGTCAACATTTAACGTCAGAACGGGAACTTGTCCGGAACTGAAGATTGAAGTTCATACCCCGTGTTTAACTGATCTCCACCAGACTCCTTTTGCGGGCTGAACAAATCGTAGAAATCGGCCTAAAAGGGGGATATAATTGGCCAGGTCCCTCTATGGCCGCGAAACTCCTCTGGCCAATTATATCCCCTTTTTAGGCCGATTTCTACGATTTGTTCAGCCCGCAAAATGAGTCTAGACCTGGTGGAGACTAGTATTTAACTGTTGTGTTTATAAACGAGATGCACTTTCTACTTGACTGTACATTATATAAAGATGAACGTCAAGAGCTATTCGATATTTTACAATTAGACAAGATATGTAAGAAAATGTCAAAGCAGGACATGTTTAAACACTTGATGTCATACAAGAACGAATGTAGAGTAGACAAACTATGTAATTATGTTTCCAAATGTTTCAAAAAGAGAGAAGAAAGGGCAACTAACAGTAGATGATAGGTAGTATACAGTATTGTTATAATGTATAAATTCCTAGCAATTAGCATTAGAATATAGCGTCCCAGTATGGCTGTATGCAATACTCATGTTTTGCATACTGCATGTCCTCTTGTGCATTTAGCCCATCTGGGCAAGAACATGCAATAAAGATTCATATCATTATCATTACAACATGACGAACTCACCAGCCCCACCACCTGCCTCAGCGCCACGTCGAAGTCCAGCCTGACCGCCGTGTTCTGGTCCCGGACAGGCCGGAGCCGCTCGTCGTAGTTTTCCAGCAGTGCCTTCCTCAGCGGTATAGCGGCGTACTGGCCGGCCAACCCTGGGTAGGGCCGAACAACGTGCCGCAGGTTGAATGAGCACCATTTTATAATAGATTGTACACTCTACAATGATAAGCGTCTATTGCTGTTCAGTGTTTACCTTTCTTTCCGCTTGTTCAATTGATTTCAATACGTTAGATCCTATAGATAAATGCAACTGCATTCTCAGGGGAGATAACCAATACTGTGTTCAAATAGGAAAATTCATTAAAGAATGTTTCGATCTTAGAGAACACATGTTAGAGAATAGTTAACCTTTATTGTTACATCATACATATACTCTGTACGTAAGATGACGTTATCCACACATGTATTTAGCTTTGTTAGATCTTTAGTTAAGTTGTAGAAGACCATACAAAAGTCTCTGTACTTTTTTGTTGTGTCAATAAAGAATCTATCTATATAACATGTGAGAGTTTGGCAACAGTCTCGGGATGGCGTCTCTGCCTACAGCGCCATTTTGGTGTGTTTCGTAGCCAATTCGTTAATATACGTCATTATAATAACTTTATTGCGCAACAATTGTACAGTGTACAAAGTATGGCATGTACTAACTTAAGTAAGTACATGTCAACTACATTTTCATAAGACTAATCTAATACAAAAGTGGGTGGCTAGTATGAGATAGGTATTAACTTATACAATCGTTGAAAGAGTTTCTAATATCCATACAGTCTTTAATATATATCCCTATGTATAGCATGTAGTCATTGAAGGCTATACATTCAGACATGGAGATACGTGTACAAGGCAACTGTTATTCAAGCAACTGGATAGATTTTGAAAACTGCAATTTTTCGGGTGAGCATCCACAACTTTTCGCCGACGACTGTCGTTAATGTAAGTCGTAAGACAAGTGACAACCGTGAAAAGAAATACAAACACATGTGGTTTAAAAACAGCATTCATGATCTATAAAGAGCCCTTTTCCATACTGTATGTACATGTCAGAGACCACCATGTAACCAAACTTAACAAGATCTCTCGGTGTTGCCCCCTCCCCCCCAATTCCCACGAAGAAAACAGATGCTTCTCAGAATTGAACAAAGAAGGCCCGGCGGTAACTAATCATCATTATCGTGTGCAAACAACCAGAACTTATCATCGCCATGTTACTGGCGTGTTACTTTTACTAGCGTCGCAATCTAACCTGTTGACACATTATTGTTATGGACTTACGTTCTGCGTTGGTCATGCTCACATAAACTGAATATGTGGTATAAAAACTAGTCTCTACCAAACTAACTACGCTGGCTATACATAGGAGAATATTTGCCAGGGGAGTTTGGCCGCCTTGTAGGTTTGACTGGCCGCGCAGGGAAAGAAACAACCTCCCCACGGCCAGACTCCCTTGGCCAATTTTACTCTCTTTTTTGACAAATTCTACGATCCGTATTCCCGTAGAAAGGCCTGGTGGAGGCTATATAAAAACTGAGTTTCTGTGTACAATTAAGACACGTATTGCAGAACGGCGTCCTTTCCTGTCTGTGCCTGTTTAAATCAGGTTTAAATCGTTCTGTATCATGTCTACATATATACATGTACATAACCGTGTGTGTTGTTGTCTAACTGCCCTTGGCATAACAAGCCGGGCGTGCGAACAGACCAGGTAACGTTACATGCATCAGCGATAATCGATGTACTTAATGGGTGCAATGAACTCTCGTGGGAGCCTTTCATAGATAAACCTTGAACTCATCCAGAGATTAGTCTCTACCAGACTAACTACGCTGGCTATGTATAGGAGAATAATTGCCAGGGGAGTTTGGCCGCCTTGTAGGTTTGACTGGCCGCTTCGGAGGGAAAGAAACTACCTCCCCACGGCCGGACTCCATTGGCCAATTTTACTCTTTTTTTTGACAAATTCTACGATCCGTATTCCCGTAGAAAGGCCGGGTGGAGGCTATCCAGAGATCGACTTGTTCTCCATTTATATATGAAGTGACGTTTCGTGACAATCACTGCATGATTGGAAATTAATTGTATGAGGCAAAAAAAGGAGCTCTGACCTCTTGTAGGTAGCCATTAACGAGACTGACTTTTCAACTGTTATCTGCCTCACTGACCTACTTATTATTGGTCAGTTGTGGTTGGCTTGATTATCTACCGTGAATCCAATACGTTCTGCTTCTGTCGTAGCCTGTCATTTTGTACTGAACCCGCTGCAGAAAGAATCTACTTACCTTGTATACAGTAAGCACACACAACGATCGCGACAACAGAGAACCTGGTACTCGTAGTACGAGCCTCCATGTTGACATACTAACACACCCTGTTGTTACCCGGAGCGAGGAGCTTTCATCACAGTAAAACGTCCTTGCCTGGAGCGACAGCTAAGAAGGCGGGGTCTCCAATTGTTGTTAGTTCCACTTAATCCTTGCGCCAATTACCCAGTGGTGACGAAATACCAGTGAAATACCAGTGACACGTTGGGAAGTTGGATGCAGATTTTTCTAACGATAAAAACTCATTACATTACATTGCAAATATTTTCCGATTTGAATTGATGTCTGCATAAAAATTGTCATTGTCTGATGAAAATCATTACATTGCATGTATTGTCCGGTTTAAACGCATGGTTAACTCCAGCCCCGGTCCGTGACACAAATTTGAAGAATGTTCCTCGGGGCGATTCGATGAAAAACGTACAGCATGTTTGGTCCCATGAAATCACACCACATTATCATCATATCACACCTTAGACACTGACTAGCAATACTCTAAGGTGATTTTTTTTTGCTATCAACCCATCTTCTTTGTATCTGTACAATGAGGGGAAGAGTACGAGTACCAGTAATACGTTGGTGCACTGTGACAGTTGTTGTTAGTTCGCACAGGTGTGACCCGGAGGCTATCATTGCGGTGTCACAACAAAAACGTTAATTACTCAGTTGGAAAGTGTATTGTTGGACCGGGTACTTTCACACGTAATCTCCCAGTCGAAGTGCGCCTCTGGCTCAAGTTTGGAAAAGTCACTGAGTTCGATTTTAATACTGGTGACGCATTAAGAGATGCTTTATACCATCTTGATAATAATGACTTCTACCAACTGTCAGATTAACTTTCAAGATAAGATTGGCGCCTCCTAATCAATGTTTACTACAACAAACCGGCATTTCGCTCGTACACGCAAGAAGTCGGACAATGTCTGTGAGTCGAAGTTTAAGATCTTTGATGATACCAGGTACTTGATACGTCCTACAGAAGGAGTATGCAGCGTAACGTACATGTACAAGTAGCACCTATTCAGTGTATACAACAAGCAACAACTTTACACGCGAGGGGCTGGACAATGTCTGTGACTTGACAGAGACGTGCTTGACTAATACTAGCTCAGATACTTAATAGGTATCTAAGTATCAGACTCAGGTCTTACATAGTAAAATATCTTACAGACTTAGCAAGAGACAAACGACAATGGATTGAACTGTACAGAGCTATACACTGATTCCCTCTGTCAATATCTGATAATCTACTGCTAAATTACAACCAGGAACAGTTAAATACATGCATACACACACACACACACACACACACATATATAAAACTTGATAACAAAGTTATATGAATAACGCTATATTATTAATATGTCCTATAGAAGGAAAACCAAACTGATGACTATAGAGGCGATGAGAGTCCCTAACATGGCCGCTCTGTCCAGCACGAGTGCCGCCATCTTCCACTCTCCCTCCTTCTCCCCGTCCTTCACGTGATCCTGCAGACAGGTCGAGATGTCCTCCACCTGCGATTTATTTTATTTGTTTTCTTTAATCAATAATTCAACTTAGACAAAACAAAACATGGTGGTAGCATACTCTAGCTTTAGCTAATTTTAAGCTCACCACCAAACATATATACAAGAATATTTATTTATTTACAGGGTTACCCAACTAGGCATAGAGACTACGAGAGCCAGAGGCGCACCTCGACTCGGAGATTACGTGTGAAAGATTGAATAATACAATTATATACATGTACAACTTATCAGAACAACACTATACAATAATAGGTTTACTAACATTGGTAAGCTTCCTGATATTTACATACTGTAGTTACCGAGTTAGTGTATTAAACAGAATATGGACACCCGGGGGATTTCCATGCTTTGACTTTGAACGAAGACAGTGTAGGGACTGATTGTGTATAAACTGGGAGGGAGTTCCACAGTTGGGTAGCTCTGTGGAAGGAGGCTTTCCGTGTTCCTGCACTTTTAGGGATTTGTACGCAGAAGTTACCTGCGATGAAATCTGCTGAAGCAGGGACCGGCGTGTGGTGGAGTCGTGTCGCGTGTTCTCGTACCGAATGTCGCGACGAAACTCCCTCAGCTCGGTGTCCTCAGCGTCGTGCAACAGGTCGTGGTTACCTGTCAATAAAAGGAAAAACACATCAAGGACAGGCGTCCGAAAATAGTTTCGTCAGGTTTCATCAAAGTAAAGCATACAGGAGTTTTCTTTTACACATTCTTACTCAAACATATTCATATACATGGTGACAGGAGTCCAAATACTAGTACCTCCTGCTAGAAAATTGCAACATGTTGTAACCCAACACCGGTTACCATGGTAACAGACGTTAGGTTCTGGTCATTGGCCTTTTGTATCTTAGCATGAACGTCTCTCTGTGTTGGTATAGTTCAAAATTTGGGTAAGTCCCAATTTACTCGGTGTTGGTCAGAACACATTTAGCCATTTTTGTCATATTGACTTTTGTGTTTGGAACGGAAGAGGAAACACAGCAAAAACAATATGTTTTCCTTCGGTAAACATAAACATATAATCTCCAAGCAGATCCCTTTCGGTGGCAAGACACTGTATCCATTAGCCAGAGAAGTTTGCATGGCCATCGAATGTTGCTAATGGACACTCCTCTGGCCAATGGATACTATCTTGCCACCGTATGATCTGTTGGGAGAGTAAGGCCACTTCAAGTAAATTTTATGGATGACGTACCTTTGGAGACCCGAAATCTAATGCGAGAGGGCGAAAAAAAAAAACAAGAAGGGCCCTAAAAACAAGATGCCTAGATAAGAAATATACTAAGAGACGACAAATGTTAGGGCACAATTTGAATGAGGTGACACAGTGTAACAAGCAAGAAGTCTTTTATTCGTAATCAAAACAGCAATATTAATAAATCAGCTGGAACAGCAGTTGTCGTCCTGCCCTGTTCTCGCGTTACGGGTTTCGCGTCAATCTGACGATTTGTGGCACTGTCGTGACTCTTTGGTCATAGTTACAGGAAGTGGAATTTCTTGGGTTTTTTTCTAGGAACAGGCCGAAATCAATGCGCGCGCGGACGTCATCCATAAAATTTACATGGTGTGGCCTAATAAGAATAAACCTCTACGCCGCGGTGTCTCTCTGGCGATGTCGCACATGCAGAAGAAGTTTGCCATGTAGCGCAGCAGCAGCAGGCGGAGGCAGCGGGGCAGCGGGCGGGAGGGGTGGCCGGGGTGGGACAGCCGCAGCACCAGGATCGTCAGCAGCAGCGAGATGGTCACCAGCACGATCGTGGCCGTGAAGAACTGGCCTGTACATGTAGTGAAACAACGTGAAGGATTTTAGTAATTGTATCTCAAAAAGCAACCGGCATAAACTACAAATTTGCTAAAAGGATATGCTAGAATGGGGAGTTGTCCGATGCCATGTTCTAGAGTAGAGTAGTCTATAGAGTAGAGTAGAGTAGAGTAGAGTAGAGTAGAGTAGAGTAGAGTAGAGTACAGCAGAGTAGAGTAGAGTAGAGTAGAGTAGAGCAGAGCAGAGTAGAGTAGAGTAGAGTAGAGAAGAGCACCAGGATCGTCAGCAGCAGCGAGATGGTCACCAACACGTGAAGAACTGGCCTGTGTGGAACAACATAAAGGATTCTAACTAATTTAGAAAAAAAAATGGCGTTAACTACAAATTTGCTAGAATGGGAATTTTTCCGTATGTGACGGTCTAAAGTCTATCACGTCTCTCGGAAAAATGCGGCCGATTCAAGAGTCACTACGGCTAGGTCTAGAGTAGCGTAGAGTCTACAGACCATCCAAACTGGGACGTCCGTAGTAGCCTGGGTACCAGACCTATTCTAGCTTCCGGGCCTCTCCGCAAAAATAGGATAAAGTCTCGGGAGCTACATGTGAAATAGGTCTGGTAATTAATAACCAGGCTACTACGGACGTCCCAGTTTGGATGGTCTAATGATCTGTAGTTCCATGAACCTGTCAAACCCTCTGTTCTGATTGCATTTACTGTGAGTGCACAGACTCCATCTGGTATTCTTACCAAGCATGGGTGTAGATGTAGAAGTGGCGGGGAGCTGGGTGGTCAGCAGCTGCTGAAACACCACCAGCGACAGGAGAACCGTGATGGTAAAACCCAGCCTCTCTGGAAAACAAAACGCAGTTGATTATTTGTTGCCCGCAAATCAGTAGAACCAAGGAGCTGTGTAGAAGCTCCTTGGTAGAACACAGTATTCGTGGGCGAACAACGTAGACCACCCTAGCCCTATGGCAGGTCCCGAAGTGACCTGCCATAGGCAGGAATAAGATTTGCCAAAGTTTCACATCAAGTTCAGTTTTGTCGTATTAATCGAAACAAAGCCAATGTCAAGTTCGTTCATTAGGCAGTTTGCCCCTCCCGAACTGTAGCTCCTTTAGCTGACCAACTCCCCTGACATCCTCTATTTAGCCGATTTTTACTCTTTCCAGACTCTTCCGAAGCCTGGTAGAGGATAGAGGATACAGGTTGGGTAGAAGAGTCCCTAGACACAGTGGGTGAACAATCCGCTGCCCCTAATTTAAAGGCTATGTACGGAGAGAGACAGAGAGAGAGAGAGAGAGAGAGAGAGAGAGAGAGAGAGAGAGAGACAGAGAGACAGAGAGACAGAGAGACAGAGAGACAGAGAGACACAGAGAGACACAGAGAGACACAGAGAGACACAGAGAGACACAAAGAGACACAGAGAGAGAGTGCTGCGAAGGTCTGTACCTGTGGGCCTTCGTAGCTACGGGACTACCATCACCCTTACCTCCGCTGTCTGGCGGGATGTAGAAGGCCGCCAGGTTGAGGACCAGCAGGTCCAGACACGGGACCACCATGTTGATGATGTAGAACAGGCGGCGGCGCGTCAGGTGGACGTGCAGCTCCATACTGGGCCACGGCGCGTCAGGGCAGCAGGAGAAGAAATTCTCCTGGACAGAACAAAAGGCGAAATATTGTTCCATCTAGTACTCTTGTTGCTGTGTATAGTATACCAAGGACATTATACACAGAATAATGTGTATAATGTCCTTGAGTATACTAACCGTCAGTAAACTTGTATGCGATAGTATCAGCAGTGGTTGACACTCAACCAAGTAATGGTAAGGTTATATACAAATTGCGAGTATTGTGGTAAAATACTCGCTATCGGCGTTTTACAGTGTAAGTATCAAATTTTGATCTCGAAAGTGTCACCGTCAACAGTTATTTCGGTATGTGTGTGTCAGCCGGGCTTCAGTCAATAGTCCTTCGAATGGACCGCCAACCACTCCTACTTGACGAATTCAGCACCAAGGCTAGGCTTGTTTACTCTGAAAGCAGAGACTTCGGCTTTTTTACGTCTTTTTAGGTGTTTTTATCCGGCTTTTTTTTAACGATTCTTTTTTTTTTGCGCTAGCCGTACTGGATACTTAGCCTGGGTTCCATCCTGGTTAGTTTACGTCCGCTCCCATTGTGGGAGCGGACGTAAACTAACCGGGAGCGGACGTAAACTAACCAGGATGGAACCCAGGCTAACTGGATACTGGCCTGCAAATTTGATGCTCTCTTGGGGGGACCAAAAGATCTGCTTGGAGATTCAGGGTTGTTTACCTTTCTCCATACTTTTGCGTCTGTCACTTCGAACTGGTCGTTCTGCGCGAACGCAGACAGATCCATGGTTGCCGACATGTTCATCAGATCCAGGTGAGCCCCGTCATATAGCCAGGAGGAGAAAGACAGCTTGCAGGTCTGTGTAGGAAGGCATACGGTTGGACATAATCTTATTATGTTCACCTTCAAACAGGTTTTTTCTGCTGTTTCGTCTTCATCTCTAAGTTTATAAGGTCAATGGCCAGAACGAGACGTCTGTCACCATGGTAACTGCTATTGTAGCAGACACCCTGTGGTGTTGGATTACATTATTATGTAGCGAGTGGTAGGACAATTGGAGGTGCTGGTCACAATATATATGAATGTAAGACTGAACAGAGCAGTAGTTTATTGGGCTACACCGGGTGAAGGTAAGCATTGTGCATTTCCTTTGCAAGTATTACCTTTTTCGTTTCGCATCTTACACAGCTTTAGCACAAATGTCCTTGTTTCATATTGAAATGTCCACCTCTTCTGACACTTCAAGTAGAATGCACAGCGTTGTAAAACTACGTCAGCTATAATACTGAGACTAACCCTTCACCTGTTGATCATACGGGAATTCGCTGACGTCCACTTCGCATGCGCTGCTGAAGAGTCCCGGTTGGAACCACGTGACGCGCCCCTCACTGGTCACGGTGACGTCAGTGACGTGTGGTAGATCACCCGAGCCTCCTCCGACGCTTAAGTTAAAACAGACAGATTTGTATGATGGCCAACACCACGCTTAAGCTTATTATTACGTTTACCTTAGTACATTATTATGTTAACCTTTGTAGAAGGAAGACATGTTGTTTTTGCTCTTTGTTCTTTTGTTTCAAACACATCAGGTCAGTGACCTGGACTAGACGTCTGTCACCATGGTAACTGGTACTGTAGCAGACACTCTGTGTGTTGGGTTACATTATGTGGCAAGTGGCAGGACAGCTTTGGACTCAAGTCGTCATATACTAGTATCATCAATATATTTGTGTACGACTAAACAGAGCAGCAGTAGTTTGTTAGACTAACGTTAGACAATATAAAGGTAAACATTATGCATTTGATTTGCAAATGTTACCTTTCTAGTGTTCTAAAAATACTCTCGAAACGTCAAATCCACACACTTCCTTTCTACAACACCCTTTAGAAAGACAGGTTAGATGGCCCAGCAGGCTGCATTGGTACTAAGGCCATGTTGATTTGATTATATGGATAACATCCACCCGCGCATGAATTTTCGGCCGTTTCCACAAAAAAAAAGTTTTCAACCATACTGTAAATCGTACAAAACAGTTGCAAAATGAGCAAAAATATACCGTAAGTTACAAAAAAAAAAAAACTATACCAATGTCGTAGAATGCCAAAATCAAACGAAAAAAGACGAAATTGTAAAGAAATGAACTTGAAGACTAGATTATTCGGCAAACCATATTCTGTGCCATTTGTTCAACCCTCATGACCACGTAGATTTCATAATGAAAAGAACTTTTTTTTTTGCAAAACTTTTTTTTATTCGCACGCGCGCATCAATATTAATTTTGGGGTTCCCGGAAGATGTCATCCATATAATCAAATCAACATGGCCTAACTTGTTGATGAGGAAGAGGTCAGGCGTCCAGACTTCAGTAGAGTGGAAGGTTATCGTCTTGATGTCGCCATGTTGTGACGCGTTCCACTGCAGTAATTCATCCGTCCAGTACTGTAAAGATCAGGTGATAACGTTATATTACTTCATACACCTAAGCAGCTCAGACAAATTTATGTTCTTAACAAACTTAGACAAACCTAGCTAGCTTCCGCCGCGCCGCGTGCCTGCGAAGCTGGTGTGTTACGCCGAACGGCGGTTATACCGGCTATACTGATACAGAAACCTTCGATTATTAAACATATCTGTTCTTATCTTTTTTACCATCTCTAAGAAACGAGAATAGTTGAAGTTACTTGACAATGTATATATGTAACGTAATCTGTACTCCATTCTTTTTAGTGACCTGTTCTTAACCCAGTGGGCATGCGTGTACAACAAAGGTCTTCGAATTCGTGCATTCATTAATCACGTTCCATTTTCTGTATCAATATCAGCGAAGAAAATGGATCATTTGTTGTTTTTGAACTTGAAAAGAAAATCTGAAGCGATACTGACCAACCGTAGCCACAAGAGCGTTGTGAAGATTTGGTTCAATTCTTCCTGTGAGACAAAACATATTTTTTTAAAAGTTAACTTAGTTGTGCACATGCTGTACCGAATCATCGATATCAAAGCAAACAGATCGGGCACTGCTATTCAAACCCTCGCGAAAAGCGTCAAAGTTGGACATGTATTACTACGTACAAGCTACTCTCCAAGCAGGGGTTTAGGTTGATAGGCGTTGGCTTTAACTTAACGTACAACTACGGTACAAGCCACACCTGAAATGAAAAAAGTCCTTTAGTCTAAACATCACTTTCTTGATAGGAGTATGGTTACAACGTCAGGTGTAAATCAAGAAGTATCAGACAAAACGGAGCTCGGATGTTCAGTCGGATGTTGAACCTTGATGTTACATGTCAGTGGTCCCGAATAGTTAGTAGTGTTAAGAAACAGACTCACGTACGTCACAAGGCTGTCGTTAATGAGCCAAATCCTCGTTGTGTAAACATAGTGTTCGGCTCAGGATCTAGAGGTCCTGGGTTCGAATCCGGCCCATGTCACCGATCTTGTGCCCTTGGGAAAGGCACTTTACACGACTTTCTTCACTTCACCTCAGGTTGAAATGAGTACCTAGTTTCGGTTAGGGACGTCCCTCGGATAGGACGTTAAATGGAGGTCCCGTGTTTGGGGGAGCCACACCCCACGCACGTTAAAGATCCCACCACACTTATCGAAAACAGTAGGGGACCTTCCCGGTGTGAGTGGTTTAGACTTTACAGTCCGGTTTTACGCAGCTTGTACTTACATGGACAAAACTGGTGTGTTACGCCTAACTTTAGGCGGTTTACCGGTTATGCGAAACAAACAAACAAACAAACAAACAAACATAACGAACATAACGAACTTACGTACCAGCCCAACCACCTGCCTCAGCGCCACGTCGAAGTCCAGCCTTACCGTCGTGTTCTGGTCCCGGACAGGCCGGATGTGTTTGTCGTAATTCTGTAACAGTGCCCTTCTCAGCGGCAGGGCAGCGTACTGGGCCGCCAACCCTGGGCAGGATATGTGAATCGAGTAAAGTTGGCATTTTGTTTACTTTCGCTATTCAACTTCACGGTATTTTCGCCTTTTACCTCCCCACCCTAGTCTATATAGGGGCCATCCGATTTGTAGTGGCAACCCCGAAAATATTTTTTTCGGGGTGGCCGCTGCAAATTGGCTGTCTCCCAGGCTATCCCAACCCATCTTACACCTGGGCTGAGTGAGAAAAGTTGTGTGCCAATTTCCCAAGAACATAACAAAACAAAACAAGAGTTCCACGATCTCATACCTTCGCCAAATGATGTTAACCCTTGTGGTTGACAAATTATACAATTTTAATCATTGATTTTGTAAATAAGAGCCTCATTTGCATGGATTATTCTCCATCCAATGACAGCCTTATCTTAACAAAAATGCTATTATAGCACTTCGTCATAAATTATGCAAATGAGGTCATGATTTGAATAAATTATGTTTGTTGATGTTCACCTTCACTTAACTACCAAATGTGGCAAGTATGAAATTCCCAAGTTACAACTATGAAATTATAAAAATTTACCATTCATTATGCAAATTAGGTCCTCATTTACATAATCTATATCCTCAGATGTTTTTTCTCGTTCTCACAAGTGATGTCACAAGTGTTTCATAGTTCTATTATCGAACAAAGAAGATTTATAGAATTTCCTCATTAATTATGCAAATTAGCTCCTGATTTGCATAATTGTTGTTTGATCATGTCAAGCATCACTTCAACTACCTACATACCAAAAATCACGACAATCCGTCAACCGCTTCTTGAGTTATCCTCCTTCGAAAATTTTTCAACAAATGCTCCTGCAGTCCCAGAACAAGCCGCTAGGGGACCCAAACTCATGTCACTTCTTCCCTATCCCAAGAGCTATCTGCCCTTCAAAATTCGTGACCCTAGCATGTCCAGATCACGAGATATCAAAACCGGAAGTTCTGCTGCAGTACCTAGGTAAGCCGCCAGGGGGCCCAAAATCTAATAATTTCTAGGTCTCATGAAGACCTACCCACCTACCAAGTTTCATTCCAATCCATCCACTGCTTCTCGAGTTATCTTGCTAAACCACACACACACACACACACAGACACACACACACACACACAGACACACACACACACACACACAAACACACAGACAGAAAAACGCAACTGAAGTACCTAGGTAAGCCGCCATAATAATTTCATACTTGCCACATTTGGAAGTTAAGTGAAGGTGAATATCAACAAACATAATTTATTCAAATCATGACCTCATTTGCATAATTTATGAGGAAGTGCTATAATAGCATTTTTGTTAAGATAAGGCTGTCATTGGGTGGAGAATATGATCAGCTGATATAATTTCTTGGCGAAGGTAAAAAAGCAAAGAAGTCCCAGGAATCGAACCCGTAACCTCTTGATCTCATGTCCGCTAGCCTAAACACTCGGTTACTCGACCCCACTTTAAGTAAGATTTACAATACCAAAAAAAAAGATCAAGCAGATGGCTCACAAAGATTTCTATTTTGCATACTTTCTTTATCGTTCAGCAGTTTTCTATGAACACGAGACCGCGCTAGCCTCCACCAGGCTCCTACGGGAATACGGATCGTAGCATTCGGCAAAAAAAAGAGAATAAAATGGGCCAAGGGAGTCCGGCCGCGGAGAGGTAGTTTCTTTCCTAACTGCGCGGCCCAGTCAAACCCCAAGGCGGCCAAACTCCCCTGGCAAATATTCTCCTATACATAGCCAGCGGAGTTCGTCTGGTGGAGACTAAGACCGCGCCCTCACCAGCACTGTACGTGGTCGGAGACCCCAAAAAGCCGGGCATTTTAGTCCGCGTCTTGCTTCACACTCTGTTGTAACGAGGCGGAACCAGCCTGCCCATTTTCAACCGCCAGCGGACCCTGAGATATTCATTGGATTGTGCGAAAGGCCGCCAAGGTTTTTGTGAGAGTATAGGCCTGTGTAAATAGCACCGAAACAGCGTCTGCACCTCAAAGTTAGCCTTAGAACTACACTTCTTGCGTGGATGAAAGGAACGCGTTTCAGTTACACTTGTTTAGTCTTTCCACAAAATAGAAGTTTGCGGCCATGGCGTTTTCGACAGTCGCTAGATACATGTACCTGATCATTGAGCTATGTCTAGCAAGTGCTTGTAATGTCGCACTCCGCCATTTATTGGGGGAAGCGGCTATAAGCAGCCTGACCGAACACGAAGTTAAACAGACATGTACAACCACATTCTTCACTGACATGCACAGTAGCGAGTAATTCCCACGTCTACATGTATTTTCACAAATCCTTCTTTTCCCCTTTATTTAATTGAAGCTACTACAGTCAAGCTTGAGCCTTGCCCCGTGCAATCATACACATACAGAACTTTTACTTACATAGTCACAAAATCTTTTGACCTGCGTAAAATCTAAGCGTCTGTTCCTAACTCACAGAGTCAGCCAATGGGCCCGCTTGATTGCAAGGGTCTTTTTAACTCTAACTTTTGGTGCGAAATGATAGACTATTAAGTACCTTTGACAAACATTGCTCAGCGTATTAAAGTAGTTTTACAGCATTTCAAATTTTGTCGTGAGATAGAGAAAACAATTGTGAAGTGAAGACGAATTGTCACACATCAAGTAACGTACCGGCAATATCTACAGTAACAAGACATAGTGGAACTTATATGTGATCGTTAGCACTGACCTTCAGACTCCCGAGAAAAAAAAAAGGTTTCATTCTGGGCATCTGCTTTAAGACTGCGTCATTCTGGTCTTTAACGCTATCATTAGATAGCTTTAAACAATGTTTAGAGTTAGATGTTCAAGGGTTAGGTAGGTCGTTCGGTGTAATGTAGCCAGCTGCTGCCGCGCCGCGTGCCTGCGAAGCTGGTGTGTTAAGTCGAAGGGCAGTTATACCAGCTATACAGATACAGATACAGACTTCCTAAAATATGCCCGCGGCTTACAAGCCCCATAAAGTGTTAACGTACCTTGTAAACAGTAGGCACACACAACGATCACGACGAGAAATGATCTGGCGCGGACCTCCATTCTGACATGCCTGCGCGCCGCAGAGTGTGAACAGATAGACGGCAGTGCGGGGTGTGGTCTTTCTAAGTTTCTTTGCACTTGTAAGTCAACCGCAGCCGTGGCTATTATCCGACGCAACTTCTGTACACGTGGTGCAAAGGTAGCGGTAGTGACTACCAAAGTAGATACTGAGTAAAGTTACTAAGTAAAGGGACACCTGTGCTACAGTACTAGTGCAATGTGAACCAGTCAGTACCCTGAAGAAGGTGACAGACGCGTACGGTCACCGAAACGTCGGCTGTGAATAAAACACTTGGTTGTGTAAAAAAAAGTGTCTCTTTACTCTGTAAGTAACACAATTTGGAATTTGAACACGATTATGGAGATGTAGATTATGCAGGCCACGTTTTCGAGGATTTGAAGAGAGGTGCTGACTTTAAAGCTTCTAGATCTACCAGGCTTCAGAAGCGGCTGGAAATAGTAGAAATTGGCCAAATAGACAGATAACACGCCAGGGGAGTTGGTCCGCTAAAGGAGTACAATTTGGCGCCTTAACTGCACTCCTTTAGCAGGCCAACTCCCCTGCCATGTTATCTGTCTATTTGGCCAATTTCTACTCTTCCTGCCACCTCTGAAGCCTGGTAGAGGCTATAAGCAACAATCAACCAATCACGTGGCCCGCAGCCGGGGAATACCCGATGACGCAACAAGGTTCCTTAAACTGATATGATGTCATCCCAATGGCTGCATACTCGTGCTTCACAAAATATCGTACAAACCTTGCTTTTTGCCACGCCTTCCTTCATTGAAGTTTATCTACCTGGAAACATTTGTTTTCCTTCCTATTATGGTATTATGCCCACTAAACGTTACAGCCCGATAAAAATGGAAATGATTACAGGTTTTAAGTGTAGGTGTTTTTGTTTGTTTGATCTCGTGACCCGTGCGCGGGGAATCACCGGGTTATTTTTGTGACTCCAACGAGCAACGCCCAGAACCATTTCAGGCAGAAGTACGAGTAGTCCGCAGTTTTTCGTGGAAAAAAATGGCCGGAATGAGTCAGCTTGTAGGGATTCTGTGCGTCCTGGGCACACACCTGGCCGTGACCGTGACGGCAGGTGAGGTCACCACCTGTCCACCTGGCCAGTTCGCTTACCTGGTGCCGGACGCCACCCCGATGTACGTGCAGGCCGGGGAATACGTGTGCAGGTATGGCTGTTGTCGTGATCTTCACTCAGTGACCACCTCGGTATATTCTAGCCTCCGCAGAAGGCTTATAGAACTGGGGGTTTGGTGGTCTTCGGCTGTTTTCTGATTAGCCCAGTTCTAAAAACGGGGGTAATTCAACCAGGCCGGCTATGTTGTCTATATGCAATCAGAAAATAGCACATAAAAGCTCCCAAAGACCACGAAGACCCCCAAACCCCTCAGATTTGGGCATGCTATGGAGGCTAGGTATATTCATAGTATTACGGTTAACCATGTCGACAATATTGAACGTAACTTGACATATATATATATACTTGTATATGTACTACTATAATAGCCTACCGTGTTAGTTTTACTGAATGTGTTGATTACAAACTTCGGCGCAATTCAGTTTTTACTGCAAGGCCGATTTGTCCCGTGTTTTTAGAGGAAGTTAAAAAGACTAGAATACATTAGACATTTATATATACATGTACATGTAATAGTTATATGTATTATATATACATGTACATGTAATAGTTATATGTATTATATAAATATGTATTCGTAAATGTATATTGATGTGACCTGTGCTTAGCCCAGTGGGGCAAAAATGTACAATTAAGGTCAAATTAATAATAAAACCATTTATTTACCACCAGGAGGTGTAGACTCTGCGCCGACGGACAGGAACTGGTAGAACCGTGTGTTGGCACGAACGACACTCGGTGCGGCGGCTGCATTCGGCAGAAGGAAGGGTTCGTGTGGGACGAAGGGACGCGCTCATGTCAGCACAGGGACGTTCTAGCCGGGCTGGCGCGGCCAGAGGACTTTCTCACGCCGCAGGGTGGGGAGAAATTCGCCGGGACGGCGCCCGTGCCCGTGCCGGCTGCAGGCTCCGACCAGGGCGGCCTTGCGATAGGTCTGTAGTAGTAGTAGTAGTAGTAGTAGTAGTAGTAGTAGTAGTAGTAGTAGCAGCAGTAGTAGTAGTAGTAGTAGTAGTAGCAGTAGTAGTAGTAGTAGTAGTAGTAGTAGTAGTAGACTGGTTTATTTGGCCTTTAGATGTGACATAAATGCCACCTGGCAGCTGGATGTGAGGCGATTTTACAGACGTGTCAGGCTAACTTAAGTAGTTACAAATTAGTTACACATTTACAGTTAAAATCGTTACAATATAATACTACGTTAGAATTGACGTATTCAATCATTAAAGATTCTAAGGACAATATAACTGTCACAGATGTTATACAAAGCAACATTACATATATAACAATGGCTGTCAGGGATCAATTATAAGTTACTTACTGAAAGGTACTTATATAACACAATTGTAGGCCTGTGGGTGTCCATGGCAGTGCTAGCTGTGGTGGCGGCCGTCTTGCTGTTTCTTCTGCTGCGCAGACGAGGCGACAACAACAGACGAGGCAAGAAACTTCAGGTCACAAGTAAGTGTTTACATATATACAGATAGAGTTGGGCGTGGCGTGCTGATATACTAGTAGCATTGCCCTGTTTTATATACAAATTATTAGCCTCTACCAGGCTTGGGGAGGCGGCTGGAAAGAGTAGAAATCGGCCAAATAGAGAGATAACATGCCAAGGGAGTTTGTCCGTTGAGAGAACAATATTTCGCCGCACATGTTCTCTCAGCGGACAAACTCACCCGGCATGCTTATCTCTCTATTTGGCCGATTTCTACTCTTTCCAGCCGCCTCCCCGAGCCTGGTAGAGGCTAACAAATTATGCCTCCCGTTCGATTTCTGGAATATTCAGACATGACGTGTATTTTTATTCTGTCGGATCGGGAGGTAAAGTTGGCGGCCCCGTGTCGAGGGAGCTTTTGGCGCCAAACTACTGCACGTGAAAGAATCCAACACACTTGTCTTGAAGAGTAGGAGGCGATGTCTGAAGACGAACTGAACCTTGGCGCGGACTCCATCGTCTTCCAAGACGGAAGGATGCCAACAACAACGCGAGCTATAGTGAAACCCCGTTACAGTTTATTTTATATTTGATCTGGGTATATAGCCGCTGCCCATTCAGCTAGTAGTACCTGCTTTCCAATGGAGCCCAGCATACATTTACACAGGACAAGACATGATTACATTTAGTCAAGCAACGGAAGGTGGATAAATTCCGATGCGTCAAAACAAAAGCAATTGTCCATAAATCAAAGTCGTCATAACGTTCCAAGTACAGTGCAGCTAAAGCTAACAAAAAAACCCTACGCACAAGAAACTGTTACTCAAGCTTAGTCCGTCAGTCCTTTATCTTTTATTATGTATCTTTGTTCTTGTTCCCACCAGCCAAAGCTGTAGAAGAGCAGAGCCTGTCCGGATCAGACTCCCGGACGTCGTCGCCGTTCCTTCAGCGGCGGGACTCCGAGGAGACGGTTCCGGCCCGGGTGTACAACAACCGCCCCTGGAGTCCAGCGGGGAGCCCGCACAGCTTCTCTTGGAACGGCCCGTGTTTCACACAGCCGAAGGAGGGCTACGTTTAACGTCACCTGCAGTTCATTTACCTGATACCTCACATTAAGTCAAGTGGCCTCTACCAGGCTTTAGAGACGGCCAGAAAGACTAGAAATTGGCCACCAGGCTTCAGAAGCGGTTGGAAAGAGTAGAAATTGGCCAAATAGACAGATAACTTGCCAGGGGAGTTAGTCAGCTACAAAGGAGAGCGGCAAACTGTACTCCTTGGCTTTATGCTGAGGTCACATTTCCCAAAAGGGGCCCGGCCAGGCTGTTTTGATTAATGAAAAATCAACAATTTATTTTAATAATGTAAGAAAATGATCCCCATTATTAATTTTTTAAACTTTTTTTTGTGCCCTGTTGTCTTTTACATCACACTGTTTGTTCCATAAGACTGCACAGCCGGGCCCCGGTTGGGGAAATGTGACCTTAGGGCTTTAGCGGACCAACTCCCCTGGTATGTTATCTTTCTGTCTGGCCAATTGCTACTCTTTCCGGATGCCTTGAAGCCCGGCAGAGGCTAACATTGAAGTAGGAAAATTGTAAAGTTCCATTCCACTTTATCTCCATCACCATGATAACAGAAGAACTACAACGTTTGTCCAGGTGATATCGGTCCACTATACATGCAGATAAATTTGTTTATTTATTCCTTTTTTAACATATACAACAGTCGGCAAACGGTTTCCCTGCAGACTTGAGGTCATGACCCTGTAGCCTCTACCAGGCTTGAGGGCGCGGCTGGAAATAGTAGAAATTGGCCAAATAGAGAGATACAACACGCCGAGGGAGTTTAGCCATCCAGTTTACAG